GGAGGAAGTATGGAATGCCAAAGACAGTCTCGGCTTTCCACACATCTTCCCACAAAGAAAGAGAATCAACTCCACACCTCAACAGGAGTCCCTTTGGGGAGATGAGCTTGCCGGGAAGTTGCTGAGGGGAGGGGTGGGTCAGAAAGTCAGGGGGGGGGGGGCAGTGGGGACCAGATGAACTCTGATGACTATGGCTTTAAGAATCCATGGATGGGCTTCTTGAGATTAACTTGGAGTCCATTTGACCTCCCCCCCCCCCAGAGGGTGGTTCCCTAGATGTGATTTCATAGGCATCCACCAGGAGCCCTGGAGTCCTGGTGGTGTAGGTGGTGATGAGCTGATCTGGAAATCGCAATGTCAGCAGTTCGAAGTAACCAGCCGCTCCACAGGAGAAAGACGAGGCTTCCGACCTCTGTAGAGCTTTGCAGCCCAGGAAACCACAGGAGCAGTTCTACTCTGTCCCACAGGACTCGGTGGCAGTGACCACACTGCTCTTCATCTCTCCTCTGACGCCATCGTGACTTGGCACTGGGTTCCCCCCACATTGTTATGTGGCACACTGACTCCGTACCATAGCCCTCGGGGCTGGGGGCTGTTACCCATCCCTGCTCTATCACTGGGCCTCGAAGACACAAATAAGTGACTTGCCCAGGGTCGCCAGCCACCTGGCATGTTCATAACAACAACATAGCTCTAAATCAAAACCCGCTGCCATCAGAGCCACAGCTTTTCACTTCAACCTTTCAAAGTAAGTATCACAAGGACAAGGAAATGGAGGTTTCAGAGAAGCTACGACATTTCCCCAAGGTCACCCAGACAGCAAGTGGCAAGGCCAGGGTGAAAACCCAGGTCTGTGGATTCCAGGGCTCCTGCTTGTGCCTCCTACAACCCCCTCAGAAAGTCAGTCCCTCCTCAGCCCTCTATTGCCCATGGGAGACTCAGCGCTCCCGATGGGCACTGAAGAAGAGTAGGCACGGTGGGTGGCCACCTGCCTGGCTCTGGATTCGGTGTTTCTGGAGCCGCCACCTCTCTGGTGCAGAATGAACATGTGGCCTGAGCCTTTCCCTCACTCCTGTCCTAATCTTTCAGGGCAGACAGGCTGCACTTATGTCTGTGCCCGTACCGGTCATCAGAGAGACGGAATGCTGAGGTTCACCACTGCAGACCTTCCTGCAGCGCAGCATGAAGTTATACTGTGTCCTCTCCTTCCCCACACTGGAAGCAACCGAACCAGACTCAGATCCCAAAGTCTGTAGCAACTGAAGCAGACTCGGATCCCAAAGGAAGGTGCACCACTCTGCTGCGGTGCTGGCCTGGCCAAAGGTGATGGCTACTGCCACTCACCCTCCAATCCAGAGCAGCCTGGCTCAGGACTAGGACGCCCCACTAACCCTGCCCTTCCTTTGGAAGAGGCACTCGCTGGCCTGTGTCTGTTAGAACCTCCACCCCCAGTGTCTTCCTTCCACTGCACTTTCCCAACCCAGAGGACTGCATCATAGCATCCCATGCCAGGCAGGATGGAAGAACTCAGTGTGACAGAAGGGGTAGTTCCTTCCCCCTAAGGGTGTCAGGCATGAACTCTGGCAGGGCTTAGCTCCAAGGTCAGTTTTCAGGGCTCAGTCCCAGGAACTTCTCTTCCCCTCTCTTGGTCTTGGGATCTCTGTAACCTATGTTCCAGTACAGATCCTATAGCTAAACCTCTAGTGGCTCTTCATGCGAATCCTGACCGAGGCCAGTGCCCCTTCTGAAGACCCTTGCTTCTAGGGAATGGTTCCAGGAGCCCAGGGTCTGGAGATGGGCAGGAGTTCTACAGTTTACCTCAGCACTTAAGCCACCAACATGGGCCATGATCGCAAGGCACTTGATCTGCACTTGAGTGAAAGGAAATTGGGGTAGTTCCTATTAAACCAAGGCACAGGACCCTCAAACTTCCCCTACAGTGGCCCGAGTGCAGAGGGAATTGAGAAGTGGGGCTATAGCACTTCTCATTATAGAAGTGGGCAAGAGAAATGCTCAGCAGATCATCAAAAGGCCAGTGGTTTGAATCCGCCAGCTCCTTCCTGGAGGAAAGAGGTAGCAGTCTGCTTCTGGATAGATCAACTGAAACCAAATCAAACTCACTACCATCGAGTCAATTCTGACTCATAATGAACATATCGGACACACAAGAATGGAGTTTCCAAAGCGGTGGATCTTTAGGGCGCCCTCCATTTAGATTATAACCTTGGAGACCCCACAAGGTAGTTCTCCTCTGTCTATGGGGTCTCTTGACAGCAGTAGGTTTGGGCAGAACCTAGACAAAGAAACACCACTTCTTTGCACTGATCTAGCTTTTATAATGGGGTGGAAGGAGACAATTTCCCAGAGAGCTGCTGTGGGAGCTCTCCACGGTGCTGAATCCAGCTTCCTGTCGACTTCATTGCTCCCACACCACCCTGACCACCACACTGGGACACTGGACTCCTTCAGCATCTTTCTGCACTGTAGCTACATGGTAATACCCAGACCCATGCTAATCATGACTTCTACAGTACCCATTCTTTGGTGACTTTTATATGACTCCTCATGGTAAATCCAACCCATGTTCAGCACACACTTGGGCCTAACATTGCTGGTACCTGTGATCATCTCTGATCTGGTTTCTGGACCTACAGATTCTCCCGATGTACTGGCAAAACCAAATGCAATAAACTGAGCGGCAAAGAGCAGTTCATCATCCTGAACCTCATGAGCCTTCACCCCAGGAGGTGGTGCTTTATCTTCACATGCTACCTGACTCTGGGAAGATTACCTACCTCTCAGGTGCCTTTAAAAAAAAGGTTCTTACCTTCCATTGCCCCTTAGCACAACAGTCATGAGTCTCTGCTAGCCTCCAGGCCTACGTCAAAGTAGGAGGAAGTATGGAATGCCAAAGACAGTCTCGGCTTTCCACACATCTTCCCACAAAGAAAGAGAATCAACTCCACACCTCAACAGGAGTCCCTTTTTAAGGGCCTGGGGATTCCTCTCAGATATCCAGGTGTCTGTCCAGCAGGGCTCAAGGACCCACTCAGGCATTCTCTGTAATAGAACCACGGGAACCTTCATCAAACCTGGGACTCCATAAATGTCAGCTTCCCCATGGTCTTCTTCCCCATCTTTTTTGCCACTGGGGTCTTCGTCTTCTCCTTCTCTTTGGTCTTCTCTTGCTTCTCAAGCTCCTCTACATAGGCATCGTAGATCTCCCACTAGACAAAGGCAGGATGAGAAGGATCATCACCAGGCACAAGCTTCCCTCAACCACCTCCTCTTCAGCCTTTGGGCTTGGGGGATCGATTATGCTAAACCTTGTCAAATGCCTTCAGAGCTTCCTCTGCTTGGTCCCTTCCCTTCTAATTATGTACCCAGTGTCTGTCTTTCCTGCTAACCATCAGCTCGAGGATGGGGATGAAGGAGCTCTCAGGGCTCTTCTGGGCTGGGCTTATCCCAAGGGCTGGCTTGTCAGCTGGAAACTGGCATCATTGTGACCAGCAACTCCCACCAGGAAGTAAAAATGGGCAAAGATCAGGCTAGCCCACAATTTTGTAGGTGATTTATAAGACTCTGAATTCGAGATGAAATAAACAAACAAACACCCAACAACACCCACCCCCTATGGAGATGGTATCAACATACTGACTCAGAGGAGTCATTCAGAGGGAAGGGGACCTCTGTTAACTGGATCTGATACCCAAAGTGGCCCACAAGGGCAGTAGCAGAGGCAGCCAGGATCCAGGGCTGGGCAGATGCCCCCAGTGCACACTGTGCACTCCCTAGAGCTGGGCACTCACTGCCATCTGGAGGCCAGATACACACACCTGTCATTTCATTCACCTGCAGACCAATACTGCAAGCCGCCAAATGCTGCAGAAATTGTCATTTAATTCAGAGACCCCCAACAACCAAGGCTGTTGTCATCCTTGCTTGACTGAGCAGAAAGTTGAGGGTTTACGGATGGCACAGTTTGTTCAGTATCTTATATTAGGAGCAGCAGAGTTGAGGACCGAGCTTAGGTCTCCTGGTACCATATCTAGCCAAAACAGCATGGCCACCCAAGAGGACTGGGAGGGCAGTGTTACTGCAGGCTGCAGAAAGGGCAGGGTCAGAGTGCTAACGCTATAAAGTCAGCCACACGGAGAGACCATGTGGACAAGTATTCTCTCCTGGTCTTGGGAAAAGTTCTAGAAGCCAAGCCTGCTTCTAGATTGCAGTCTTTCCAGGAGGCTGAGGGCTGTTCCAGAGCTCACTGGATGGTGACTCATGTCCTTGGCATCTGTGCCTGGATGCTCAGGACCATGAGCAGGGAAATGGATGCAGGTGGAGGGCAGACTGCCAGAGGAACCCATGACCAGGCCAGCCTCTCTTGCTACCGAATGAAACAAGGATCCTGGGAGGTGGGAAGCAGTGATGGGTTTCAGGTTGGTCCAGGGTTCTACCTGATTGGCTGTGGCCGAAAAGTTGGTCCTGGGAGGAGGCTCCATCTGACACTCTCGGTCCTAAATAACAACGACAAGAGAAAACCCACGGGCAGCTCTTCACTTCTCTTCACTCAATCCTTGGGAGAAACACAGTGGTTTGAGCTAAGAGGGCAGGGTGGGACACAGTAGAAGGAAAGAGGAGCCTGGGTAAAAGACCCAGCGTGCACTAAGCTGATGTTTCCGCCCCTATCCCGGCATTCTTCCGAAGAAGCCTAGGCTAGAAAGTAGAGGTAGTGAGGCTGGACGGTGCCAGTGTCAACAAAGCTGAAGGCCCAGTGGAGCTCGGGCAGAGCTGCAGGAAGCTGGGCTGAGGGCAGCCCGCAGACACAGAGCACAGAGGTCAGCCCACTGCCATCCCTCTGATGTCCTTTTCCTTGAGAGCCTTCTTCCTACAACCGTGCTCTCTGGCTCCACTGGAGAAGCATGCCCTTCCCCGTGCTGTGTCGCCAGATCACCAAAGAGCAGCGCAGGAGCCACTGGGTGATGAGGAGATGCTCATCTGGTAGACCATGGCCCTCTCCCCCACCACACATCCACTTCCATGACGCAAGTGAGCCTCCCACATGAAACCCTGTCAGGCTCCTTGGCTTGGCACCCGGGGGGCTTCTATATCTGGGAGCACGAGAGCCTTTCTAGCCGTCTCCACCTACTCTCTCAGACACCTTCGACTCCAGCCCAACTGGCTCCCAGTTCCCCTTCCCAGCACAGTGTGGCCTCCCCCACCCCCCACCCCCCACGGGGTCCTGGGTCGGCCCCCTCCTGGAATCCTGGTTCAGGTTGCAGCCTCTCTGTGGAGTTTTGGGGTGTACTTATGACTCCCTCTGAACTCCCTGGATGGAGCCCTGAAGATATACATGCTCCCAACTCTCCCCAGAGAGAGGACTGTGGCCGCTGCCCTATCACCCTGGCCTGGCGGAGGGCTCCCGGAGCATGGCTCGGGTCTGCTTGCTCCCGGGCATGTACTGGGCAGACGCAAGGTTAAGGGGCTGGGGCAGGGGCTGCTCTACCCGGAGCCGGTTGGTGAAGGTCTGGGAGGCCCTCTCGCTGAAGTTGAACTGGTTGGTGAGCTTCTGCTCCTTGGGCTGCATTGGAGTCATGAACTCTTCTTCAATCACTTTGTCCGCTGCCTGGGGAGGGGGGGCATTCAGAGGACCAGAACTCAGTGGCAAGAATTGGGACATGAGGGCATCCTATCCCCCAGGGTAGGAGTGAGGCAGGAGAGGCTGATGCTGCTAGCACATTGCCACCTGCAACCTCTAACTTCTCCCCTTCAGCTCCTTTCTCCTCGTCACTCCTGAATCCATCACTTAAGCTAGAAGGGAAGGGTTGTAGGGCAAGGGGATGCTGCACCTCAGCTGCAGGCATGTCTTCTGCGTCTGCTTCCTTGGGTTCTTCGTCTTCTTCAGGCACTTCTGTGTCTGACTGCACCACCTTGGCCGACTCTTGAGAACCTTGATAAAATGAAGTTGATTAACCTCCAGTCAAAGCTCATTCTCCCAAGCCTTGGTAAGGTGGGCTTCTTGGTTTCTGCCTTTCAGACCCTCCCTGCCCCTGGGATCTCCCTGGGCTCTCCCCCACAGACAGGAACCTTCATGATGAATCAGAAAGGGTAGGTTAATTTCTACAGCAATTCGGGGCCGCCTGCATACTGGACCTTATGTAAGCAGAGGTTCTTCCGAGTTCTGGCTTAGGGACCTACTCCTTAGAGTGAACTGGGGACTGGGCTCGGGGCAGCAGCTTCAGTCAGCCTGCAATCCTACCTGCTACTAACTCATCACGGTAGTGCTGCCGCCGTCCTTCATCTGAGTCTTTAGGAATCAGGTTCCCGACTTGGCTGAAGTGAACTGCCAGTTGGTTCACAAAGCCAATAAGTTTGTATGTGCCTTCCTGAGAAGAGAGGTGGAGGAAGACTATTGGTCTGGAATCATGACTGGAATCAGAATCTATCTTCTGCCTTCATTTCCAAAGGCCAAAGACAGTCCACTTCTGCCCATAGGAATCTAACTCACCAAAGCCTTCGTTGAAATGAAGTTTCCACTGTGTTCCACGGTAAAGAGGAGGAGCCCAATGAAACCAAGTTTGTTTTAGTTCTGGACGTTCTCATCATAGACTTATCTTCAAACACCTTCCCCTTCCAACCTTGAGTAGCTCTGAGCTGACCTTTCAAGGATCAGGTGCCTTATTCTCTATATCCATGCCAAGGTAGTCTAGCTTGCCTGCCTCATCCCAGATGGCTGAACAAGTCAGATAGTCTTCAAATACACTTAGCATGGCCCTTTCTCTGCTCTATTTGGTGGATGCCAGGTATGGAAAGGAGCCCCGATGGTGTAATGGGTTATGCGTTGGGCTGTTAACTGCACGGTCAGCAGTTTGAACCCACCAGGTGCTCCAAGGGAGAAAGAGGAGGCTTTCTGCTCCCATAAAGGTTTGCAGTCTCAGGAACCCCCACTTGCAACTCTGCTCAGTCCTACAGGGAGTCACAGCGGACCTGACAGCAGTGAGTTTAGTTGTCGTTGAGAGGGCTGGAAAAGCCCTCCGGGACGACCCAGCGCCTGGTCTAGAGAGGATCGCAGCCATCTAGAGAAGGTTTGGGCATGTGACTTGTGTGGGTTACACAGCAAATGAAAAGCTGGGGAAAACGAATGAATTAAAATGCTTCTTCCACAAGTATTTTGTGTGTGTGTGGTCATCCTATGCCAAGTCTTTTTAGGTGTGTGTGAATATCAATCAGAGCCAAGCAGGCATGGCGCATGCTTTCACAGAGCCTCTAATCTGATCGCTCCAGACTGCATGGGAGCCCCATCCTAGGACCCACTTCCACTGAACTCTGAGTCCAAGGGTCACTTCCTTCTTATGTAGCAGTGCTGTTCAATCTTTTTCAAATCATGGCACATATAGCGAATCATGATCTTGGTATGGCATGCTCAGGGAACCCCATGGCCCAAGGCAGCCAAGCCCGTGGGGTCCAACTCTTCCATGTCCACTCGACCCTGGTGTGCTTCAAGGGCCATTACTTCTGCACACAGGCTGGGGATCTCTGCCTTAGAAAGCCAACACGACTTCTGCCTTTCTCAGTAGCTCAGATGGATGAGGATGTTGGATAGCACAATCATTAAGGGCCAGGCCTTTGGGGTTGGGCAAAGTTGGGTTCAAATCTTCATCTGTCCCGTTGTATTTCCAGGGTCTTGGGTTTAACCACTCTAAGTTCCAAGTTCATCATCTGTGAATGAGGATGATAATATCTGATTTTTAGGTAGGAGATATTATAAAGGGTCCTGAGGGGGGTGGTGACTATGACTCGGGCTGCCAACTATGAGATTGGCAGTTTGAAACTACTAGCTACTACTCAGGAGGAAGACAGGCGACTTACTACCTTGAAAACCCACATGCGTGGCTCTACCATGACCGATAAGGTTGCTATGACTCAGAATCAACTCGATGGCAGTGAGTTTAGATATCATAAGCACTGACAAAAATGAAAGCACTGAAAGTCATAAAACAATAACTTATTAACGTGGTGCCTGACATATAATAAATTCTGAATACATCATCACTATTATCATGATGATGTCTATTTCTATGGAAATAGGAATCATCCACGTAGTTGTCATTCGAGACTTTGCTTTCATTCCTGCAGGAGCAATGAATTATTGAATGGGGCTCTTCTAGACAAAGACTCTACCTCCCACCAAAAGACCTTTTCCTGCATGGGTCTGGTAAGAAGGTGGGGGAAGACACTGGTAGGATTCCCCAGTGAGTCACTGTGAACAGGACTCCCTGGAATGCCAGCCTGCTGTATATGTAATGAGCCCTCTGAGAAGCAGGAGGAGGAATCTCAATACCAGCGAGAGCTAGGAGTGGAGTGAGTCCTCTGGACCTGATGTCCCTACACACTGAATCTCCTGGGTCCAGAAGACAGTGATGGCCTCAGAGGAACAGCAGCAGAACCAGGAGTCAGAGCATGGACCAGAGTGGTGGACTTCCCAATCAATGGAGCAAGTAAAGCTGAGTGCTTTTGTGCAGGAGGCCGGCGTGTGGAGTGGGAGATGCAATTGGATATGCAATTGAGAAAGAGGGGGGCTTGCTGACCCACTGATGTGGAGATAAGTGGGTCCAGGATGTGGCTTACTGGAGTGGTGTGTCTCTGGGTACTTAATCCAGGGACCTAGGCTTGCTGATCCATAGAGCTTGGGCTAAATGCCTTCAGATTGAGGCTGACAGTGGGGTGGCGTGTCCCTCTGGGCATTTATTAACAGACCTGAAAGAACTTTGAACATGTCCTGATAAACAACATTCTGAGCACTTTTCATTGGCATTATAATCTGTCAAGTTTCTTAATAAAACCCTTTAATCATGAATTTTGTCTGTGTGTTCTGGGTAATCATTGCAATATCAGAACCTAGAGAGGAAAACTAGAGAACATTAATTAAGACAATACAATTCTGTCCCCAGAAGTGGACTGCGACCTTCCTCTTCAGTTCAGAATGAAATTCAGATGCCATTACTTCTGCAAAAGGAGGGAAGGCGTGCCTCGATCAGAACCAGCTGTCTCCCTGCAGCACTTCAAGTGAAGGAGCAGTTTCAGAAATCCAAAGCTCTGGACCCAAGCAAAAGGCCAACAAGATCGAGGCTAGCTCTGTGAGAGGATGCCAGGCAGTTGGGGTAATTAATGTATAATGGGAACCTTCCTGAGAGTCTGGGGCTACCCAGCTGGTAGTTGACTCCTGGGAATCTTTTTTAAGGAGTGGGTCTCCCAGTAGGGCCACAGGAGTGCATGGCTAACTAATAAGGTGGTGTTAATTCTCTGCATGTCACATTCCTCTCATGGCCTGCACACGGAGTCCTCGGAAGGCCTGTTTTCAGGTAGCAGAGGACAAGAGCCCAAGCATGCCTCTCTAGCATAACCCCAGAAAGGGCAACTAGGCTTCCCTCTGGCCCCTGGGAGCTGTCCAAGGAGGCCAGGAACACAATTTAGCAGTGGCACCTCTCAAACACACTTAAAAATAAAAAAAGCTATGGTGAAATATGTACAGCAACACATTTGCCATTCAAACCATTTTTACATGTAAATTTCAGTGACATCAATTACATTCCCCATGTGTGTAACCATCACTATTTTCAAAAGTTTCCAGCACTCTAACAAAACTCAGCACCCCTTAATCGATAACCACCACTTCCCCTCTCATCCTGGTAGCCACGGATAAACTCCAGCTGCCGTGCATTCGCCTGTTCTGTATATTGTATAGAAGTGGGTTCAGACTGTATTTGTCCTGTTGTGTCTGACATATTTCACTCAGCATCATATTTTCAGTTTACCATGCCGTAGCACGATCAGGACTTCATTTCTTTTCATGGCTGAATAATATTCTATTGCATGTCTATGTTTAAAAAAAAATTGAAATTCACAGCCGTTGAGTAGATTCTGACTCATAGCAACCTTACAAGGACAGAGTAGAACTGCTTCTGTGGGTCTCCAAGGCTGAAAATCGTTATGGGGGGAGAAAAGCTCATCTTTCTCCCACAGAGTGGCTGACCTTGTGGCTAACAGCCTGATGTGTAACCTCCTACATCATCAGGGCTTCTTTTGTAGGTGTATGTGCCCTGTTTTGTCTATCCATTCATCTGCTGATGGACCTTGGTGTTCTCTGCCTTTTGGCGATTGTAAATAATGCGGCAGTGAACATTGGTGTACACTTCTTATGTTTGAATTCCTGCCGTTCCGTTTTTCTAGTTAGATACCCCGGAGCAAAATTGCAGGATCATATGGTTGTTCCATGTTTGATTTTGGGGGGACTACCGTACTGTTTTCCACGGAAGCTGCACAGTTTTACAATCCCATCTGTACTTGGTGAAGTTTCCAGTGTCTCCCCAGCTTTGCCAATATCTGTTGTTTTCCATTGTTGTTTTTGTTTTTAAAACTATCACCATCCTAATGTATGAGAAGCAGTATCTCAATGTCTCGCATACTTTGGATATGTTGTCAGGAAAGACCAGTCCCTGGAAGAGGCGTCCTGCTTGGTAAAGTAGAGAGTCAGCAAAACAGAGGAGGTTCTTCAACGAGATGGATGGACACGGCAGCTACAATGGGCTCACATACAGCAGCGGTGATGAGATGACGCAAGACAGGCGGTGTTTTCGTGTGCGGTACGGAGGGTCACTGAGCTGAAACGGACTCGATAGTGCCTAACAACGATGACGAATGGCATTAAACATGTCTGAAAGAAACACGTCTTGATTTTCCCCAACTTTTTGGCAGGGAGATTGGCTACTCAGTCTTAAATAAGCGGCAGTGTATTGGAGAAACTGTTCTTGTACCTGAATGCTCATAGTATCATTATTCATAATAGGCAAGAAGTAGAAGCAGCCCCAATGCCCATTCACCTATGAATCAATCAATAGAATGTGGTAGATTCATAAAACAGAGCCACGCTGGATAATCAAAAGAAAGAAAGTCCTGATACATGCTACTACATGTATGAACCTTAAAACATGCTAAGTCAAGGAAGCCATTCCCAAAAGACCACTTACGATGAAATCAGATGAACCGAGTGAATTCTGACCCATAGTGACCCTATAGGCCAGAATTGTACTGCCTCACAGGGTTTCCTGATCTTTACAAGAACAGATGGCTAGCTTTTTTCTCCCACGGAATTGCTTGCTGGTGGGTTCTGAATGCCAACCTTTTAGGTGGCAGCAGAGCACTTAACCATTGTGCACCAGGTCTCCTTGGCAGAGTAGGAAAATCTACGGGCAGAAAGTGGATTCATGTTTGCCCAGAACTGGGGCAGGGGAGGGTTGAGGGTGACAGCTAAGAGATGTAGGGCTTCCCTGGAGAATCATGAAAATGTATGAAAATTGGTTGCAGTGATAGTATAACTCTGGTGATACTATCAGCTATTGAATTGTATATCGCAAATGCCTGAACGGTATGGTAGGTAAAATATATCTCAATAATGCTGCTTAAAAAAAGAGAATAAAAAAAGACACTGTTAATAGTGGAAAGAGAACAGGGGAGGGAGACAAGGGAGCATTTTTCATGCTCCTTTGAATCTTTTGAAATTTACACCATGGCTTTTTATTATATATTCAAAATAATTATATGCACATTTTGAAGTTTTTCTTAAGAAGCAGGTTGATGTTGCGTTGGAGTCAAACTGGTTCCAATCTTGCTTTGAATCCTGGCTGTGTGACTTTTGTAATTTGTTTCATCTAATTGTACCTCAGTTTCTATAACATCAAGATAATAATAGTTCTCTAGCGAGAATTGTTGGGATTGAATAAGGTGTCCTACATAAGAGGTCTAATCTAGGACCTGACACCGGCACACAGGAAGCATGGAACGAATGTGTCTTAAAATAATGGAATTTAAAAAACACAGGTGTTATTGCCATGTTAGCTCAAAATTTACTCTGACGCTCTCTTCGGGGGATGCCCACAGGGGTTGATCTTGCAGTGTTGTTCCTGTGAAGTGGGTGCCACACGCCTGCCTATCAAGTGACAATGCACCCATGCCACGGGGACACCAAAAAGGCCTAAGGGGTCACGTGCCTGACTGGCTGCTACCATGGGCGAGGAGCTGCTGAGAACAGAGGAACTGGGGCTTCCTCCAGGCGGTGGCCTGAAAGGACAGGGAAGTGCCCCCCTTTGTCCACAGGGGAGTTGGTACTCCAGCCAGACGTCAGACTGGAGGAAAGCCCAGATGCTCAAGACCCCAAAGCTGACATTAGTAAAAACATTTTGTACACATTTGAAAAGGGTTGGTTTTTTGTTTGTTTGTGTTTAACCCAAAGGATTCGCTTGGGGATTCCTGAAAAGCGTGGGCTCTGCAAGGCAATGAGACTTTCAATCCCAGACTGCAGGGGAGATTCGTGAAAGAAACAAAACAAAACAAACCCCCCCCACCTTTTTCTTTTTTTAATCTCTGGAAAACTCCACATCAAATCCCAGGGCCCCAGCCAGCGACTTCAGTTTAAAGGCAACCTCCTGTGTAGGACCGACTTTGTGGTTGCCAACAATGGGCTCAAGCGTAGGAACAACGGTGAGGCTGACGCAGGACCGGACAGTGTTTCTGTCTGGTGCGCATTGTGTTACTCTGGGTCGGAATCAACTGGATGACACCCCACAACAACAAGCTGTCCAGTAGCTGAGAGGCTTCTGCAAGGTGGCGATTCACCTCCGAGGCCAGGAGCACCTAGGGGCCCCGCCCAGAAGGGGATTACTTACTTTGAAGCTGTACCTAACGATGTTCTGGGGTGCATGTGGGTTGTTGGCTGTCAGAATTCGGGTGAACTCCTCCTTTAGCTCCTAAGGGGCAGAAAGACCAAAAATGTCCTGCATAAAAGACCTCACCCCACCCCAGGCCCAGTGAGGTTTGGGAGGATCCTCCTCCACCCATAATGTCAACAGGGATCACACACCCAGGCTCTGTGAAGACTCCTAACCAGGACAATGGAAAGATATGGGTCTGATGCTGGAGTGGAGGAAGGGGCCAGGGCAGGGTGCTGCTCACTTACTGCATCAGTCAACTCCAGTTGGTCAGGTGGTCTGACTGTGGCTTTGGACTGGGACCATTCATCTGCTCCTTCTCCCACATCAGTCCCTGAATCTTCCTCCTACATAAAAACCTCATTGAAGGTGTGGAGTATCTGATCCTGCTTGGACAAGCAAGCAGTACAGTAAGAGGATCCTTCATCCACAGATCCTCCCAGAAGCCGGGCTCTGTCCCTGACAGGGTATACAAACTGTGTAACAGCTCAATCATGGAAGGGCCCAAAGGAACTGCTCAGAACAGAGTTCTGGTTGCCTGAAAGAGCATAGCCACCTCAGTCCCAGAATATCAGGATGGGCCTTTGGACCAAGTTGTGGGGCTAGGAGAACTCGCCCTCCCTATTGCGTTTCATACATCCTGGAGGCTCATGTCCAGGGTCAACTATCAAAGGCAACTTATACGAAGTGGCTTATTCATCAAGAAAGGAGGCCAAGCTGTTTTAACCTCTTTCAACATTGTATTTGATCTTCCAACTTACAACCTGAAAGTTCTTTCTAAAACAAAGCTCTCTGAAACTTAGTAGCTGTAAAGGTTCACGGTCCCATGAGGTCTGTGTGAGGAAGAAGAGTCAGAAGAGGAAGGACTAGGCATTCTGCCTTCACCCGAGACAGTACACAATGTTCCCCATCACGAGTAACCAAAGACACGCTAAATAGAGGAGTGCCATTTTCACTTTAAAACTAGAAAATGTGAAAACATGAGAAAATCAACCAAACAAAATTAACATCCAGTTTGGTGAGGGAAAAATATGCACTCATAAAATTACTCGGACCGAATTTCTATGTCTAGGCGTTTTTATTAAGAAAACAGCCAAGGATATGTCCAATGATTTGGGTGCATGAGCACTTGTTGGAGGATGTATTCTAATAGTGACAAGGTGGGAATGCCTAAACATCCACCAATGGGCATGGCTGAACAAATTAGGCTGTGGTTTTTAGGAGCATATGATAAAGTAATGATGTCAAATGATGCTATGAAAATGTATTTACTATCAACAGAAATTGAAAGCAGGTGAGAAGCAGGTTATAAAATGACATACACAGTTTGGTTTCATTTAGAAATAAATACATGCCCTTTTAATTGATGTACCAGCATACCCAGAAGGGTAGGACATCAAATGTTAAGGGGTTTTCATGGGTGGTGGGCTTGAGGATGAATTTAATGGCATTCTTCTTACTTGTTGCAATTTCTAGAACATACATAAGCACTATTTTTAACAGAAAAATAATCATCCTTTTAGAAATGAATTAAGAGACTGTGGTGACCTCAGCACTTACTTTTTTCCTGGTTCCTCTGCTCACAGGGATGCTCTGAAGGAGAACAGAAGCAGAAGCTAAGTCTTGATCAAAACAAACAAACAAACAAATACAAAGAAGATGAAGATTTTCATGCCAAAGGGAAAAGACTTCGGAGATTGCCAAATTGCGGGGTAGGGGTGGGGGTGGGTCAAGGGAGAGAGGATAAGCAATGAGACAGACTGTTGACGGTGTTCAAAAAGAAAACTCTGACTCATAGTGACCCTTATAGGACAGAGCTGTCCAGTGACTTTCTGAGACTGTAAATCTTTACAGGAGTGGAAAGCCTCATCTTGCTCCCACAGAGCAGCTAGTGGTTTCCAATTGATGACCTTGAGGTTAGCAGTCGAATCCATAACCCGCCACACTCCCAGGGCCCCTTGATGGGCGTTAACTTGAAGTGGAAGTGAAGTGGAAGATGAGAGTCGACAAGAGGGAGAAGAGAAATCAAGGAGCAGGGTGTGTGTGTGTGTGTGTGTAAGCTAAACTATTGGAGGGCTTGACAAGTTGTTTAAACTGCTGAACACAAAGTTGTTTATCTGAAATGTAAACCCCCTACCTAATTTACAATGAAAATTTGTTTAAAAAAACAAGTAATTTTAAAAAATCAGGAATAAAAGCACATGCTGTCACTGAAAGACTTAGGAAAGCTCACTGTCCTTTGCCTGCAGGGTGGTGCTAAGCTACACAAAGCTCTGGAGAATAGTTACCTGTCTGAGAGCAGGTCTACAATTGTGTGTCACAACTTGGTGACAAGCAACTGCAGATACCATTCTGTCTCTCAGTGACAGCATGAGCTTCTTGGCCCGGCCAAGGGGGGCCTGTATCTGCGGCAACCCCGTTTCAGCATCAGTTTCACCAGGAAATTCAACCAAGTAACTTAGCACTAGACATTTCTTTCTAGCCATTAGCTCAACAAACAGTTGTGTTTTATTTTTATATTCGGAATATGAATATATTCTGAATAGTCCTCGCTGTATTAGGAATTTAAGGGAGTTTGAGGGAAGATTGTATTTCTAGACACATGTTGGGGGTGGATTTAAGCTCCTTATGAGCTGGTACTTTATAGCATTCACTGCTGGAGCCCCAGAGTCTAAAGCAGTGTTCCGGACATGGTAGGTGTTCAAAATTCTTATTCAATAAACGAAGGAATGCTGTCAGAATGACCATCAATAACCTTGACCTGGGCAAAGCAGTTTTCCTCTCTCAGTCTCAGTTTCCTCTCAATGAAATACACAGGATTCAAAATGATGCCCTTTTCAGGTCTAACATGCGAAAACGTGATGCTCCCCAGAGCAACAACGCTCAGTTCAATTGGATACATATTTGTCAAACATCTGTTTGTGTGCCAGGCAGCAGCCTATAAATGGGATAAAAACAATGAAATATGAGGTTCCCACCTCAGCTTGCTTGAGGACACAGAGAAAAGACAGGTGTAATCCGTGCCTGTCGCTCCATGTTCTTGAGAAGTTGTTGGGCCCGGACTTCCCAAATGCAAAGTGAGAGAGTCAGACTAGATGGGTTCTCACAGCCCAGACATGCCAGGGTCTTTGGGAAAAGCTTTGGCGGTGGGAGGGAGGAAAGACTCCAGAGGGAGAAAAAAGCAGGTCCCAGCATGGGCTGGGTTGTTGTCAGGCAGGCAGGCAGGCAGGCAGGCAACAGAAGCCAGATTTCTGCCAGGTTTCCAAGGTTTCCAGTGATGAGAACCCTTCTCTGAGGCCAAGCCACATGAGCCAGAAAGCTGCTTTCCTTTGAAGAGCCTCTGATCCCTAAGGTAACTGGGATGGGAGAGTCACAATGTCCAACAGCTTTCCGGCCCACAACAGAGCACTGGAGGGCCAATCCCAACCTAAACCACCAGCCTTAAATAGAAAATGAGATCCAGTTCCCACTGCCCCCCGTAAATAAGTCTGTAAAACATTTATCTGGCAATAAAAGAACTGACAAGGCAATTTGAGTGTAATTGTTTTTGGCAGTTGGAAATATTTCAATTAACACACTATAAAAGCCACACTATAATAAATGCAAAACAGGCCAATGAAATCAGCTACAGCCCTGACTTCCCAACCATGGCAAAAGAGATTGAATGTCAAGCTGCCACTTTGGGCCCTTGGTCTTCCAGAAGGAGAAGCCTGAGACAGACAGGCCTGAATTCCTGAAAAGCTTTTGATGGTTCCCTCCAGAAGCCGTCAAACCACAGGAGAAAAGTTCAAACTCCCTCCCCTGGCCCTCAGAATTCCATCATCTGGCCCCAGTCTCCATTCCAGCCTGCTACCCTATCCTCATGTGCCAGGACTTTAAAATTCAGCCCAATGGAGCTACTTACAGTCCCTGAACCTGGTCTTTGCTGTCCCACCTCTGTACCACTCCATCCCTGTCCGACTGGTCCTTCATCTAACTTCTCCTGACATAAGACCACCTTTCTCTGACTTCCCTCTGCTCTTCCCTTCCTCATTTTGAGCATGGCTCCCCCTCTGCTTTCCAGCACGGCCACAAATATTGGCTAGTGTGAGATTAATGATGAAATGTATCTTTACGACTCTTTACTGTTGTCTGGGAGTTTATGTATGTTTACTCTTGTCTCTGGGTTTTGGTCTATACAAGGTGATACTATTAAGAGAAGAACGAGATACTCTAGTACATATGGGAGACTGTTTGGAGAGGCCAAGCATTCTTACTCTTGACCAAAGAAGGTCCTCCTCTTTTGTGCAGTTCATTATTTTTGGCCAAGAAAGGATGTCTATTGAGGAATCCAGGAGGAAGAGGAAACCCACACAGATGACCAAGGCAGTCAACTGAACGCTGGCCATCAATGGAATAGCAGATCTCTCTTCTTGAACTCCTTCATAGAACGTGTGTATTATTCTCTTTGTTACAGATCCCAGTGAGCATCCTGAGGGCAGATGCTTGGGCATCCTATCCCTTGGATGGAGTTCAGCTACCTACAATTTCATGTCACCCCCATTCCCAGTGGCTTCTTCTCAATATCCTACATTGGCTCCTTTTCCACCAGCAACCTCCAGAATATGCTGGTGCTCCTCCAGGGGGCTCTGATCCTCTCCCCATGCATCCTCGACAGGGGCTCTTGTCCTCACTCACAGCTTCACCTTTCCCTTATGATGGAAAAGCTACGATCTCTTTCTATAGCCTAGGCTTTCCAGAACCTCAGGTTCAAACTGATTACAGAATGCTCAAACCCAGCCTCATGAAAGTCAGCCTCATTGTGTTCCTTTTTCCACCTCACCCTGCCACTTCCTCCGACATTCCCCATGGCTCTCAAGTACACCCACAAGAATTCAGCCACTCAGGTTCAACCTGAGAGTCATCAAGGCGGCTTGCCTTTTCTTCACCCTCTCATGAGCACTAGATTACAAAGACTAACCACTCTAGCTCTTTAATATCTTTCATAACTACCCTCTCTATTTACACCCCTCTTCATTCAAGCCCTTAGGATCTCTTGCCTACCTACATTCCATCTCCCTGACTTCAGTTGCCCTCTCTCTTCTAGTAATGGTAGTATTATGATTTTCAGTTATCCTGGATCAGTCACTTACTAAGCTATTTTTGTAAATATTTCACTTCATCTTCACAACTAATTTATGAGCTAGGTCCTATTCTAGTTCCCATCTTACAGATAAAGAAACAGGATTAAGGAGATCAAGCAATTGGCCTCAAATGTCCAGGATCTGACACTTCAAACTCTTAATGACATCTATAAAGTGCTCTTTCTAATAATATAAACCTGACGATGTCACGCTCCTGATTTAAAGCCTTCAAGGACTCCTCACCAGCCTGGAGATGAAGTATAAGCTCTCTCACACAGTACCTGTGTCCTATCCTTCACTTTCCCTCCCACAACCACACTTAGCCACTTACAAGTCTCTGAAAGCTTACATAGGAAAGATCCAGGTAAGCAGGGGGATTCAGCCTGGGTACTTGGTTGCCAAATATGCCCCCATAACCTTGGGAAGTTGAGTGGCTAGTAATTTAGGAGGGGCTGCACACCTGGGCATACGTAAACTTCTTTGCTGAAGAACATGACCGCACTTATGTAAACCGTTCTTCTCTCAAGACCACCAGCCACGGTGACAGATTAAAATAACACCCTGCAGATAGGCCAGTCTCACACCTCTGGACTGCTTCCTGGGCTCATACTTTGAGGCAACCTTTGGGTGAATGTCCTTCCTAACCCAGCCCATCCTAACAGTAGGTTAGTTGACCAGGGGCAATTTCAAGCAGAGGAGTGACACAACAAAAGCAGGTGCTCCAAGTCCAACCAACCTTATGCCACCTGCAGGGAGAATGAGTTAGGGATGGAGGCAGGCAGAGGCCAGCTGATCCCCAACCCAAGCCCCAGCTACAGTTTAAAGAGTACTCCCTTAAGGCTCAGCACTCCACTAGGCAATGTGCCGCTATCATATTTAATCATCACAGTCTTTCTGCAAAATAGATACATTTTTCTCATTTTAAGGGAAAACACACACACACACACACACACACACACACACACAGAGAATTCTGCAGTTCAAATGAGATGGCAAAGGAGGGTGCTCTGAAAGCAAACATTCTGGTCAACATGAGAGATGATCATTACCACCTTCTGAGCATTACCTGCAGTTAGACCCGTTTTAAGAAGCCCTAGTGGTGGTGGTGTGTGAGTGTTAAACTGCTAACTGCCGGGTTAGGGGTTCAAACATACCAGCTGCTCTCCTGGAGAAAGAAGAAGCTCTCTGTCCCATAAAGGCGCACAGCCCTGGAAACTCTAGAGGAGTCACTGTGAGTCGGAGGGATCCATGACCTGCTTTGGTACATGACCCACTGAGCAGCATAAGTGACTCCCCAGTTCCTGAGCATATTTGATATTGCAATCAAGAGATTTAAAATTCTTAAGCTGCTCCCTGTCATAAAGATATAATTTAAAAATCAGTTTGTGACTCAATCCAGCACTTCTCTGCCAGTTTGTTGTGCTGTGATGATTTGTGTTCTGCTGTGATGCTAAATGATATTTCAAATGA